AGGAAGGAAGGAAGGAAGGAAGGAAGGAAGGAAGGAAGGAAGGAAGGAAGGAAGGAAGGAAGGAAGGAAGATAGGAAGAAGGAATCAGGTTTTTCGACTTGGGAGTATTTCCCTCAAAAGAGTGATCCCTTTTCAGAATTAGTCACCAAGTATCTACAGTGTTCACAGATAAGCAATGTGTTTGTGTATGTTTGTTTGTTTGGGGGAAGACTTCTGCTTCTGGGAAGATGGAGTAGACATACTTTTCTATATTCCTCCCACTAAATGGAACTAAAAATTCTGGACATCTTATGTAAAATAAACAAGGAAGATTCTGAAAGGTGAGGGGTGGGAACAGACTGGCTAGGGACCTCAAGAACCAAGAAACAACATGGTAGTCAGTTCCATGGTCTTCCTTTTGGCCTCACATACCCCAGAAATCAGCAACTGGACAAAAAAAAAAAAAAAAAAACTCCAATAAAAGCTTTCTCTCTCTAGCCAAAAGATCAGGAAGGGGGTAACCTACAAAGATAGAAACTTACAGATAATAACTACTCTGCTCCAGCCAAACATCAAATAAAAAACCTTAGCCCAATCCATTACACAGACTAGCAGAAGCTGAGAAAGAAGCCTAGACTTCCACCCTTCATGAGGCTGTACAAGACACCCCAATACCTACCCTGGGGTGGTGTGAGAGAATTAGGGAGTTTATCCTCCACAGGCTAGTAATGAGGCTCTCTTCAAACCCCTGCAGTCTCAATGAAGACCACTATGAGGAGCTGACTAACACCCCTACCTAGCCCAGTCCCTCGGGGATCAATGGAGGCCAAATGGGGAACCTGGACTTTTACCTCCACATGGCAGGAATGAGGTGGTTCCCCTTCTTTCCCTGCAGGAGTGACATCTTTATAAAGCCAGTTAAAACAGAAAACTTAAATAAGAACCATGGTCTATAATACAATGCAAAAAATGTCTAAGTTTCAATTAAAAAGTCACTCATCACTACCAAGAATTAGGAAGATCTGAAACTGAATGAAGAATGTCAACCAACAGATGCCAATACCAAGTTAACAGAGATATTAGAATCATTTTCAGGCAGCCATGATAAAAATGCTTCAACAAACAATTACAAGTACATTTGAAACAAATGAAATATAGAGAGCTTCAGCAAAGAAATAGGAACTATGAAGAACCAAATGGAAATTTTAAAACTGAAAGATACAATAACCAAGTACAAAGCTTAGTGGGTGAGCTCAAAGGTAGAATGGATAGGACAAAGGGAAAAAAAATCAGTAAACTGGATGATAAGGCAATAGAAATTACCCAATCTGAAGAACAGAGAAAAAAACTAACTGAAAAAAAAATGAACAGAGCTTCGGGACCTGTAGGACAACAAGAGATTTAATATTTGTATCATCAGAGCCCCAGAAGGAGCAGAGAAAGAGGGCAGGGCTAAAAAAGTACTTGAAGAAATAATAGCTAAAAAATTCCCGAATTTGGTGAGAGATTTTTAGGTGAGGGGATATTTAGGACAGTGAAGCTATTCTATATGATACTGTAATGGTGGCTATGTGTCATTATACATTTGTCAAAACCCATAGTATATACAATACAAAGAGTGAACTTTAATGTAAACTATGAATTTTAATTAATAATAATGTATCAATATTGATTCATCAACTGTACCAAATGTACCACACTAAAGCAAATGTTAATAATGGGGGAAGTTGGGGGTGAAGAGTGAGGGGGTGTATATAAACTCCACATTTTCTGCTCATTTTCCTGTAAACTTAAAACTGCTTTTAAAAAGTTTTAATTTTAAAAAAAATTAGTAAATAACAAAATGAATATATCAAAAATGTTCTTTAAAAAATTAAGAAAATAAAACACTAGCAAACCTAGTCAAAGGAGCAGAAGGGGGAAAATAACACAAAAAAAGAAGTAACAAGGAAGAAATAATAAAAACGAAGGGTTTTTGTTTTTTAATTGTGACACGACTTCATGTAATTCTTGTCACCAGTTGGATTTCCTGGAGAAGCAGATTCTAATATGGAGATTTTCATGCGCCATGTTTATGGGGAAGTGTCTTCAAAATCAATATCTGTGGGAAAGCAAAGAAAGTAAGATTGGGCAAAGAGAGAAGCTGAACTCAAGAATTCGACTTTATAAAAATTCAAAAAGAAAAAAACTCTTATTTGCAGGGGAGTTATTGTGTACATACCCCTTCTCCCTTTCCCACCTTTCCAAGCAATATACAGATAAATTAGTAGAATTAATAATAGAGTTTAATAATAGAGTTTAATTGGAAATAATAAGTAAAAATCAATTTTATTTTTACACATTAGCAAAAATCAAGCTATAATTTTAAAAAGGTAACAGTTACAATCAAACAAAAACATAAAATGCTAGAAATAATTCCAACAACTTTACAAGGGTTTTATGGAGAAAATTAAAACTATTAGAAGGCATTAAAGAAAATCTAAATATTCTTAGGTAGAAAATTCCCCCAAATTGGTTGTTAATCCTCAATAAGAATTCTTAATTTAGTAAACAGGTTCATTCTAAAATTCACTTGATAGAGCAAAGAGTCAGTAATAGTTAAGATGGTCATGAGGAAGAACAGGTGAGAGCATTGGCTTTACCAGACATCAAGACTTAAAAACAATAAGGAATTTGGTGTAAGGATAGATAAAATGGTGTATTGATAGAGAAATTGCTTTACTGAACACTTATTAGTTTGTCATGATGTAGTATAGTTGTACATGATCCAACCTAAATCTACTCTTACTTAGGGAAACTCTTGCACCTGTACATCTACTGGTGCACAGGTGCAAGAGTGTCCACAGCAGCATTGCTTATAACATTCCCAAAATGGGGAGAAAAAAGTTGAACTCCAGTACAGTCATAGCAAACACTGTGGGGAGAAGGCAATGTTCAGATAACGTGTCTTTTTAGCTCATAGATCACCAGCCCACGAGGAGTCACTTGGAGAAAACTACACATCATCCAGAAATGCCTGGATGGGACTTGAGTGTGTCTTTTGGGAAGGAGGTAAGTGTATTCTCTTATGTGGGAAGAAGGATGAAACTGATATTTCATCAAAAATACCAAAAGGATGGACTGTCATAGAGACTGCCAGTTGATTATTAAACCTCATTCCTCCTCTTCATGGCACATAGCTAAACTACATTTTCCAGCCTCCTCAGCTGTGAAAGTGGCCAAATGATTGGGGATTAGCTAATGGAACCTGACTAGAATGATAAGCACAACTTCCTGGCCTGGCCTGTGATATCCCCACACGTGCCATCCTCTGATTCTTACTCTTTCCAGCTTGGTGCAGCCCGTCATACACAATGTTCTTGGAAATCCTATGTTAAAAATGGCAGAGGCACCAAACAGGAATAGCCTGGATCTCTAATTCAAAAGCGATTATCCCAGCAAAATAGTGTTCCCAGAATCTAGGACAAAACATTATACAATCCAGACTCACATTTCCTCAGGTCCACAGTCTCTTATCTTAAACTCTTGGGGCCAGGTGTGTTTCAGTAGTCAGAACTTTAGGGATTGTAATAAGGTAATGCAGTATACATATTACATACCAGTATATGTGAATTACACACCTTCTCCAGCCAGGCTTGAGGCAGCACCCTAGAATCAAGCAAAATAATACTTCTTGTGTAAACTACATGAATATTTACTTTGAAAGGAAGCCTACAAGCAGCTACACCTGTTCTGGGCAGGTTTTGCCACCAAATAGATTTTGGCATAGGACTTATTACACTTTCGGTTTTCAGAGCTTTGTGGATTTCAGATTTGCAGGTAAGAGATCGTGTGACGGTGCAGCCAAAGCCCATAGTGGAGACACAGAAGTAACTAGAAAAAAGGAGTAATAGGTGACATATTGCTTTCACTGTCAAGCTATGTCCGTGACTATAAAATTAAACTCCATTGAGACAACAGACTCTTTAATCAAGAGGTCTGATGTGGTGTAATCTTCAAGTTTCATTGGCTAATGCTCAATTCAACTTAATAGCAAAAGAGGCTGGAAAATGTAATTTAACCGTACCCCCATGATGAGCTGGACCAAAGTTTGGTGAGCAGCTGGTGATCTCTACAACAACAGTTCACCCTTCTGGTCACTAATGTCAGGCTGTGCCAGTGACTATGAAATTAAACTCCACTGAAGGGATTTTTTTAGTCAAGAGGTTGGGATAGCTATTTCAGTCTCCCAGTCTTCAATCTTTTAATCTTCTAATCTTCAATTGTTCTATCATGAACTCTACTGCAGCTTTGAGGGGCCACCTCTCAGTTGTGTCCTGGACCAGAGCTCCCTTACTTATCTCTAGTCTTCCCTGAGCCATGTCTTCTCCATCTCAGATTTCTTTAGACCCCCATCACTCTTTCTGATCCAACAACTGATACAAGCTCCACAAACACCCAACATTGTGAATATTTTTAATGTCTAATGTATGTGGAAAAGACTATTTCCAGTTACCTAGGTTTTAAATTAATATTTAACTTATGAAAATTATAAGTATGAAATTTGGTTTTGCTTAAGCCTTTAAATTCAACTTACAAATCATGCAATTTTACTTATAAATGTACTAAATTTTTTTAAATTACTTCCACTTGATATTTGATGCTTAACTCAACTTACACAGATTTAAATTTCCTTAACAATTAGTCTCATCTACAGACTTAGTAAAATTTTCGTAACAGTTTTAGATCATATTCATATGCTTAATGTATTTGGTTTTTTCTTCATGCACTTCAATTGCCTGACAAGGTAAACTTTAAATTCTCACATGCAAAATCTTTCTTATAGCATAAGCAACTCTTGTAAATCTAACCACTTGATTTACCATGTTCAGATGTTTGATTTGTCTTAAATGTTCTAACAATTTTTACAAGCTTGAGCAGTGTTTTATACCTTCCAACTAAAAATTGTAACTCTAAAATTAGTTATGAAATAAGTTGAAAACACAAGCTTAACTTAAATTCATACAGATACTTAAAATTAAATTTAACATCAAAATATTATGATTTACTTCACTGTCTCTATACTAAACTCTACACCTTCTCAGGAGAGCAGTTTGGCCATCTCATGAAGCCTGAGGTTATTAGATCAAAAAATTACTGCCGTAGGGCACAGGGAGGGGGAGGCAAAAAAAAAAAAAAAAATTACTGCCATAAAAGTTAGTTGTCAGATTGAAGAGCAGGATAGGAAAGCTTGGGCCTGTGGGGCTACATGCTGCCGAGATAATTCTCACCAGTGAACACAGTGAGCATTTCCTGGTGGAGCTACCTCTGCTAGCTGCAAGGTGAGACTTTCAGCTGGACCAATTCACAACTCACATGAGCAGGGCATCTTTCTTATTGCACCTTATCCTATCTTAGATAGATGGACTGCTACTACACCCACATCTAGATCAGCTAATTTCCCTCACTTATTAGGTCCTGCATTCCTTCTGTATATTTCTTATCTTACCTGATTCTCTAGCCCTGTCAATGTCCTCTCTTTTCTAATCCTCTAATTAAGAGTCATAAGACCCACATAAATCCCCTTTTCCCTTTCACAACTGCCTGGCCTCTGAGACCTCATGTTCCTTTCGTATGTGTCTAGCGTGTCTTCAAAGACCATAAGCCTTTCTTCCAATGAAATCTATCTCTTCCTCCAGCTTAATCAGCCTTTTATTTTTTTCTTCCAATTTCTACTTTTCCTGTTCTAAGAATAATATCAAATCCTTTGTTGTTTTGTTTTTGTTATTGTTGTTTTTTAAGTAGTTCTTCCTTGACTCTTTGAGCAAACATGATTCTTAGTCAGAATGTTTCAGACATGGGCCTTTTCAATTGCATTCTTGAGACTTTGGGTTCACGGTAAGTTCAATTATTTCTCTATCTTAATAAGAAAATAGTATATTCCCTATGTAATAAACAATCCCCACTCTTTTTTATCTTTTCATTGGAAAAAATATACCCCCCTTGGTAACTAAGGCCTCAGTCTGGGTCTCCCAAATTCAAATTCATGGCCAAGGATTGCATAATTAACTAAAAGATTATAAAGGTTACAATTCCAGAGCCACCTTGAGATGGTTAGAGGTAATTCTTGGGAGTCTGTGGACAAGCCTAATTATCTGAGATATTAACTACTTCACACTTCATTCCTGTGTCCCATGATACAGTTCACAAGGACAGTAAGAGGCTGACCAGGCATGACCTACTTGGGCCTTCACAAAGGTCACACAAACATGCTCAGAAATGCAACTTAGCTCATTTTGAGGTTTGAGGCTCAGTCTGAAAACCTGGCTGGAAAACACAGAAGTACAAAAAGTTATTCCATCTACCTGTTAAAAGCAAAATAAAAGGCCAAAGTGAGAGGCAACAAGCATTTATTTGATATCAAAAAAGAAAGCTATTCGGGAAGCACTGATTCGGGCAAAAACCATCAAGCTCAAGGTCAGCCACAGAGGTCAGCACCCAAAAGCCTGTGAGCTCTTGCTTGCTAAGACCCTAGCAGCTCCTGTTCTAAAGCCCCCATCTATTAAAAATAACCCTGTGTCTATTTAAAACAGCCTGGCAACTATAAAAATAGTCACTCTTCCATGGTCGTTAGCCATATATGCTTCCGTAAGCTGCCAAAGTGAAAAGAAAAACCTAGGTGTGTCTGACTACAAAGCATATGTTCAAAGCTACAACCCCATGCTGCCTAGGCTTTGGATAGAAGGAACTTTAGGTATCCTGCCATCCCCAGAATGTCATGCTTTTTAAAGACACCATTGTCACTGGGACTAGGAATGGTTTTGTTCATCTCTGATAATTAATGATAATGATAACTAACATGTAATATGCTAATTCTCAGTTACTTCAGAAAAAGTTACCTTACATAAGCATCACTCAAACCTTTGAGTAAGCAATTCCCCTTTTTGGGTGATAAATCAAAACTTAGGTTAAAATACCAAGACCAAACACTCAGTTTCTGGGATTTGAACAGAGGCAGAGCTGACAGCAAAGCCCTCCTCAACCCGGCTCCCCATCACCTCACCTGGGAAGAGAGATCCTCTGTGCTATAGGATTTTCTCAAAGCAACAAGATGGCATGTCAAGAGTAGGGGCCTGAGGTAGAGGGTCCTTGGCCCAGGAGTCTATAAAAGGACTGCTAAACTTTCAGGAGAGAAGGAAGCATGAGCAGCTGAAGTCTTCCTGGTATGCTGAGGCTTAGCCCAGTTGTCATCTGGAAGATGTATAACCCTCTCATCACAGATACATATCTTCTGGACTTTACCCTGTCTACAGTGCCATAGAATGAAGGAAGACCACTGTCCTTCGGAGGCCTAACTTAAAATCAGTGGTCTTCTCAAACGTTGCTCTTACCCATTACCAGCCTCTTCCCCCAAGAACCAGCCACGCTGCACCCATGGAGAGATGGCAGCGCAATCCCAACTGCACACATTTAAGGAGAAAAGACCACATCTGATGGGGAGATGGGAGAGGGACGCAGAGCTGGGGTAAGAACTTGAGGAATTTGGGTCAGGTCTTTGAGATGTTCCCTTATCCTAATGGATTAAAATCCTCACCCAGGCATCATGGGGTTCCTACTCCTCTTCTGACAAAGCCAGCTTCACCACATCCCAGAATCTCCATCACTCCCCTCCTCCCCGTAGTTGCTAAATTTAAACACTCATCTATCTTTTTCCTGTAGGACGTGGGTATTTTAAGGGAGTGACAGCATGGTGCCGCAGGAGATGCAGTGACACCACCGCTGTGAAAATAAGCGTGCCAGCTCCTCCTCTCTGTCTGCCAAACATGCCTGCTCCCCCGCCCCACCTCCGCCGCCCCACCAGGGACTTGCCTAAAGGCTGCTGAGCAAGGAGAGGTGGAGTCCAGGAACCCATCCCCACAGTACCCAGAGGAACAGAGTGGACACAAACTCATCCTAGACACGCTTCTGGAACTGCCCAGGGTCTGAGGGATTCACTGGATCAACACACAGTCCAGAGGAGTCCTGAGGTGTTATAAGTATGGAGGATCTAGGAGACACACTTTGGGGGCCAACATGGAGATTAAAATCTGAAGGGAATATGACATCTTCCATAACTCTTAGGAGACTGGGAGCAAAAGTGTCATTCTTGACCTACTCAACAAAGCCCTCAGGGGACTGGTAGGTGGGAAAATGGATGTTTCCGGATTGTTGCTGATTGGAGCATCAGCCCTGAAGGTTGCAAGGTCAAATGGAGACCCCAGGAGTGGGCATTTATGCGCTACCGATATGTTTGTCTATCACCCAGAAGCACATAGGTGAGTTTGCAGGTCTCTGCAACAGGAAGGACACACTTTGTTCTTGAACCAGTGGTTACCATATCTCCTTCTACAGCATGATTTTTCCCCAGGGCATAGCTCTTCACCTGTGCACCTTTCAGGAAGCTAATTAATTGTCACTGCAGAGAGTGGACTTCAGAGGAAAACAGAAAGAAAGAATGGAGTTAGGCTGAAGGAGGTATGGTTCCTGTTTCAAATTAAATGGAAACAGGTAAATTAGAAACCTTGCCCAAGGCCTAGCACCCTGAGGTTTTGCCAGCTTCTGTGAGGGAGGTTAGGGAACATCCTTGCAGGAGATCTTGAGCAACAAAATAAAAACCCATTTGGACTTGTGCCTGCTGTCCATTCTCTGCATAATCAGAGTTGGCATCTTGCCTCACTCCCACTTTCTGTTTCCAGTGTGTGTGAGGGGTGGGAAAATGTGGGTGGGCCAGCAAGCAAGAGAAGTAGTATGGGGCATATAGTGATGCAAGGAGTTCAACGTCTTGTCCAGGTTTCCAGGCTCCTACTTAAACCAACCCCACCCACCCACCCATGACTCATCTACCTGTCCTGTTGTCATTATAGGGAGATAGCAGTACCCATACACTGGGGACCTGGGATCTGGGGTGTCAGACACTGAGAATGAAGACAAGGGACAGGAAAGGTCACACCTATAAGACATATAAGACACACCTATAAAAGGCTCTGATTCTGGAGAGTCTCCAGAAAACTATGTAGAATGGTGCATTTCAGAAGAAACCCCTGCTCGCTCCCAGAAACAGATGATCCAGGAAGGCTGCGAGTCCAGGAGAGGTTGGGCGGTTGCTAAGAAAGACCTATGCTGCCATTTGCCATTCTATGCTACAGATACACGTACATCAAGGAGGAACAGAGTTCAAAGCAAGCTCACCCCCTCCCTCACCTGCTCCCTAGAGCTGGGGCCTGAACTGGAGGTGAATAAAGACCCGATACCAGAGTCTCATCCACAGTGCTGGGGCTCCAAGGACAAACACAAAAATGATGGGATGCACTCGGTTTCAGCTCCTCTACATGGGATGCTGTGGTCTCTGAGATTGGAGTGGGTGAAGATGAAAAGGGATGGCAAAGGAGAAGAGAAGGAGATGAACTCACTGAAATTCAAGACAATAAACTAAAATCCCTCTCAAACTCCTCTGAGAGCTAAGGCTCTCCAATGTCTGTAAGTTCTACCTAATGAGCCATCACCTGAGTCTCTGAGGGACTCAGGTTGAACAGGTAGAGCTACCTCCCACATGGTATTGCCACAGACACAGAAACGTCAGCTTGGCATCCAGGAGACCCCCACCTTTCACAGGAGAGGTTACCACAGGGCATCCACTTGGTCACCTGTCCTCTGCGCACTGACCTCCCAGGCCAGATGGCCACCAGAGCAGCTCATCTCTCCCCTCCTACAAATAAGTGACAGCCACACACATCACCTCATCAATTACAGAGCCCCTGCCTTGTGCTAGGCACTATGTGAGTTGCTAAGGATACAGCAAATCTGGCGGTGGAGACAGATGTGTACCATGGTCCAGTGGGAAGCGCTGTGATGGAAGTGTAAACAAGAGGTGCCAGAGCACGGAAGACTCCCTGTAAGAGGCAGCACCGGAACTGGGTCTTCAGAGGTAGGAAGAAGATTGTACACAGAGTAGAATAGATAAGTAGATAAGTAGAATAATTGAGCAGAACATAAGTATACAAAGGAGAAAGGACATGCTAAACAAATGGGACAGTATGTGCAGAGAAACGGAAGAGCAGGGCGAGCGGGGGGGAATGGTCCGTGTGGCCGAAGCCCAGGCGTGCAGGCATGGCAGTAGAGAGGGGCCAGGGAAGGAGGCAAGGCCTGACACACCTGGGTTAAAGACTTGACCCTGGCAGTGACTAGGAGGTAGAGACGGTTCTAAGAGGAGAGTGGCATCACCAGAGCTGCACTTTAGAATGGTCACTCAGATCCAGAGTTGGGCTGGGGAGAGCAAGACGCCGGAGGGAAGGAGAACAGGTAGGAGGCAGGTGGGAGGCCCTGGCAGCAGACCAGGCTTATACTGAAGAGGGTGCGAATCGAGACAGCAACAGCAGTAGGGGAAAGGGAAAGAAAAAAGACATATTTGAGGTATTTTAAGGGGTGAAAATTACAGGGTTTTATCACCATTCGGACATGAGGTTAAGGGAGAGAGAGAAATCTAGACTGATTCTCAGATTTCTGGCTTAGGTATGTGGGCAAAAGGCGATAGAGTTAAGGGAGAATAGAGCAGAATTCAGGCAAAGGTTAAGTTTGAGGCACAGGATGCCTGAGTAGACATACCCATACGTAGTTGTAAATAGAGGTCAGGAAAGAGGTCTGGGTAGGAGAAATAGATATGGAGGCATCCACACACAGCTGGCGTTAAGCTATGGATAAGGATGAGGCAGCCAGCAGAAGTAAGGCTAGGCACTGGATGGGGTACAGGGTGAACCAATGAGCACCATCTCCATTCCACCTGTGTTAACAAGAACCCCAGAGAACATTACTGATACTCAAAGCCCTCATCCTACATAAAAGAATTAAGACTTGGATCCCCAGTATTTACTGGGGCAGAGACAGTACGGAAAGGATGCTCCCACTAGATCCCTCTTCTGAAATAGCCTCATCTGGTTACTGCCTCTTCCTACCTAAGGAACATGTCTCAGAGCCTGTTCTCTCTTGTTACCAAAAGCAGGGTTGCCTGCCCTCTCCCCCGGGCTCCCAGGCTGGGAGCCCATGTGCCACGGACAGAATGTTCCAAGAGGTGGGAAGGGACTGATAGTAACCCTACGAAGCCCAGGCATCTGCTGCATCCCCTGAATCATCTATACTTTTCCAGAGGATGTTGAGGGAAGAAAGCGGTAGGAGCCATCTGCCCCTGTCTTATTTCCTTGTGGCTTGGTACCCGAAATAACCAGACCTGCACCCCTTACCTCATCCCTCCTCAGAAACTCGAATGGGCCCTTAGACCGGAGGGCCCAATGCTGGCACAGCACTCACAGGATCAGGCAGCAGGAGGCAGCTCACAGAGCTTTTTTCTGGTTTTATTTGAAAACCTTCGGATGTGTCCCCTCCCTCACCATACCCATTCCCCTACTCCCACCCAGGACATGACGACGCCACATACACACACAAGCTGTGAGCTGCAGACAGAACACAGGGGCTGCGCTCACGAACACATGAAAAAATATACATTATATATCATATACCAAGGCCCCTACTCCTGCTCCCACCCCCACGACCTAGCCACAAGCAGGTCATGTAGGAAGGGCGGGGGCTGTAAGACCTCAGGCAAGGACAGGAGGGGGAAGAGGACAACAAAGGAGGGAAAGTGGGCACGTTGAAGAAACAGGGGTCCCCAGAGTGAAATGGACAGAGAGGTGGGGGATCATAAGAGGAGTGGGCAGGCCCCGCAGAGGAAGCTGGGAGCAGGAAGGCCTCATGAACAGGAGAACAGGGAAGGACAAAGGAGAGGGTTTCTTCAGTCCCACCCCTAGCCCCTGCCATTGCCACGGACACCCCCACCCACCCCAATACAGCGCATGGCTGGTGGGAGGAGAGACAGAGACGTGGGCAAGCTAAACAGAAGGCTGCTGTGGGGGTCAGGAAAGGCAGCCAAAGCCTCCCATACCCGCGAGGAAGAGCCCAGAGGCATGGGAGGTGGGTGGGGGTGGGGGTGCAGATTCCAGTGGGGCCCACTGGGATTTTGAGATGAAAATATGACTCGAACTCTCTTCCTCTTGTTCGCTCTTCTCTCAGAATGTTCTCTTTTCCAGGTGTCTCTGTCTCACCAGGGCAGAATGCTCTCTCTGTTTGGGGAGGGGTGTAGGCCTTAGTAGCGATGTGGGGGTGTCTCGATGATGCGTCTCTCGTCGCTGCTGGGCGAGTCAGCTGCCTCTGAGTCACTGCTGTCCTCGTCCTCCTGCTGGCCCCCAGGAGCCCCAGCCACAGAGGCTTGCTGATTCTGGTAGGACTAGAGAAAGCGGCGGCAGAGAGGAGAGGGGCTTGGTGGCCTGCACACCCCCCAAAACCTCTCCTTTGGGCCACAGTCCCTCTGTCTCCGTACCCTGACACCACCCCACCTCCTCCCCGATACAAACCTTTCTCTTTCTGGCTGATGGCGACTCAGCCCAGTGCTTTTTGCCCAGGGCCTGGCCACTCCTTAGAGGTCTTCGCTGTGTATGCTCCAGCTGAATCTTGACCCTGTGAACCACCCCACTTCCCAGGGCCACTCACCTCCATGGGGTTCACAATAATGGTGAGAGCTGAATCATCCCAGAAGAGGTCAGGGTCCTTGGGGTCACTGGAGGCCCCTGGGGGCCCACTGGCCCCTGAGACGCGGCGGTGAAGGGAGTGGATGCGCACGAGGCCCAGGATGACCATGAGCACCAGGAAGCCCACACACACCACGATGATGAGAGTTGCTGCACTGGGGACCACTGTGGGGAAAGCATGCAGTAAAGAGACTGTGGTCAGGTCTACCCAAGGGGACTCAGCACAGGGAGCCGAGAAGGGGTCCCTGGGCAGAGAAAGTCTCCAAGACAGGATTTATGATGGCCCAGAAGAGGGGACTACCCTATAGAAGCTGGACGAAAAATAGAGCCCCACCAGGACACCAGGAAGGAAGGGGGCAGCGGAATGGCTGCTGCTAGGGCCCGAGGAACAGAGAGACAGAGAGAGGGAGAGAAGTATGTGAAAGGAGAGGGGAGGAGACAAGGGCGGGGGGAGAAAGGCTCCCACCCGAAGCTGTCAGGAGCAGCTCTATTCTCAGCAGGCAAAGGGCAAGGTTTGGAACCTGCCCAGGTCATCCTGCCTGCGTCTTCCCCAGGGACCACTCAACTTAGGAAGGGAGTACCCAGGGCCCAGTGGGGGAAGAGGAGAAACAACCACACAGGCTTGATGAGGTAGGAGAAGAGGATGTCCGAGCCTGGAGACAGGTCCAAGGGGCAAGGAGCACCTGGACTGAGCTCACTCCTGCTCGGTGCCACCTCCCTTCTCCTTGTGGGCTTAGGGCTCTTGAACATCTCGGGCTTCTGTTCCTCCTCAATCTCCCCCCGAGGTATACTGGACTTCTCTTTGGCCCTGTCATGCCTCTGGCTCTGCAGCCTCACTTTGAGGCCCAGGTTCAGGGGCATATGGACCATGAAGGGCAGCGAGACACTGAAGGGCATGTGCACTTTCACACGGACCCTAGAGCTGATGGCGGAAAAGCAGATGTGCATGCACAGGCACATGCCCAGGAAGACTACGTGGGCACAGAGCTGGATAAAAGTCACTACACCTCGCACCCAAGCCAGGCCTCTGCTAAC